CGTTGGCGCGTTGTCGCCAAAGCTCGTAAATCTTCCCTGGGTCCAGGTGCTCTCTCTTTCTCTCTTTCTCTCTCTCTCTCGCAGGCATTGGCCCGCGATATGGCCAATAAAAAGTATAGCAGGAGGATTGGCATCGTTTTAAGCGTCGTGTACGCCTTCTACGTCGCGGTTGGTCGGCCATTGCGTAGTTGCGGCCGTCGAAGGCCGTTCTAGGTCGTTCGGTAGCCGCCGCCGCCGCCGCCGCCGCCGCTAGGCAATGCTTCTCGAGCTGGTTACCTTACGCGACTCTTGTCCTTGTCAGGATCGAGTACGCGGTTCGGGCGTATCGATCGATTCGTCCATTGCCTGCCTGTCGCGCCAGCGAAAATCGTTCCACTTCATCTCCCGAGCGTCGGCGAATCATCGTCACCGTCTCTTTGCGCAAATTGCTCAATTTGTTTCCACAAACGTGCTGTTTCCAGTCCCCTGTGGACCGAATTTTCTTCGATCATTCATCGACGAACGTCTTCTTGTAGAAATCGCTCAGTTTGTTTCAAACATTGTGCGTTTAACCCTGTATGGTTAGTCGAATTTTTTTCACAACTATGAAACGAAATTTATGCCACGTAAAATCAACAGATGTCAAGCTATAAATACGAGAGATTAACGAGATTAATTAAAATTCTCAATAATTTCTATCCAGTGATAACGACGAGTTCAAGAAGAAAGCGACGAATTATTGTATGTATCGGTCACTCGTTATGGTCCGCAATCAGCTGCCAGCGCGAGGTGGTCAACATCAACTCAATTTGGATAACAGAACGCTAGAAAATTTGCTATCAGAATAACGCTAAAAAAGTTAAAATCTGTTAATTTATTTAAATAATTAAGCAATTAATATTTCTATAATATCATATTTTATATAATATTTTAATTAACATTTTTTATAATTTAAATAATTGTTTGTTGAGTTTTATTAGAACTTTAATTAAGTTAAAGTAAATATTACTTATTAGTATTTAGTATACATATAATTTATATAAAAATACGACGACGTTCGACCGCGAGCTCCGACAAATAACCGTTTGTTGTCTCGTCCTCGCGGAACGTATGGTCGCGGGACCAATTGTTTCAATTGTAACGCGCGTAATCGTGTTTCAGAAGAAACTTGCTGGCGGTTGCAAAACCGTGAGACGAACGGATTGTTTCGGATGCATCGGCTTGTCGGCAGAGGTCACGAGGAAAACCTGGAAAATTTATCAACTTGCAAGGTATGTTCTCCCGTGTGCAATACAGCTACTCGAAAAATCGTAATTTTCGTTGCTTTCTCGGTAAAATCGGGGGCGAGTCTCCTTCTTCCATCCCGCGGAATTACATGCTTGCTCGTTCGTTCGTTGATCGCACGATAAAACTCGTCCAAATCGCAGGCGGTACGCCTACCATCGGTTCTCGCGACGGGAGCATCCTTTTCGTTTAAACTCAAACTGCCGCTCGTAAGAGCCTAACGTCGGAGAAAAAAGAAAAGTTGCTCGCAGATACGCTATCCTTTTTAACGACCGCACATAACCGCGCCCTTTCGCGCCAATGTACGACGCGCCGCAATTCGCGAAAAATTTGCGATCGCCACCTATGCCGCGAGTTATAAATACTAGATCCTTTGGGACACTTTCATTTTTAATCATCTTGCACTTATCGTCCATTGTCGTGTACATGTGTTTTATAACACATATACATTAATATATTAAGAGATGTATCCTTTGTTGTACAGATCATTAGTATATTAGTACATAATTACATACTGTACATACAGTACATTAACATATTAAGAGATGTATCCTTGTTGTTTTATACTTGTTGTGAATACAGTGATTTATATCGCACGTTGTGTGTACAACCTGTACTTTTATATATCGTGTAACTTATCTTAATATTATAATTGTAAATATTGTGTTCGTTGTATCTAATTTATAATTTTTATTTATTGTACTGTTTTATTAATATACAGTATAATAGAATATACATGTACAATATAATATACAAGGTGTTTCGGAGATCGTGATATAATCAGCGCTTCGACACATTTGTCAATTAACGCGCCAGTAACTGGTTGACGGACCATAACGAGCGACCAAACCGTATACAATAATTCGTCTTTTTTTTTTAAATCCATCGGTATATCACTGGATAAAAATTACTAGGAAGTAATAAATTTGTTATTTGCTTTGCCTGGGTTGTATCTCAATATACTTAAAACTGAGAAAATATTGCAATTTTGGACTCAGTATTCTCGACGTGCGTGGCACGTCATTCCAGCGCGAAAAGGTTAAGAAGTCTGGACGATCCGACTTTTTACAAATTTTACTATTTTACAAATTTTCGAAAGCGACGACAATGTAGAGGCCAAGGAAATTGGAACTGTAAGAAATATATATATATATATAATTATACAATTTATACAATTATACATTTGTACAATTTGTACGTTTATTCAACACGATTTACTCGACATGCAATTATTCCTTCTAGGGTTGTCGCAGGTTCTAGAAAACTGAGGGTATCCTTTGTATTTGTTGTACGATTGACCTTCAATGTGAATTTTATCGTTCCACCAACTGTCTCTACGGTACATCGCGATTCTCTGTCTCAAATAATAATCCGTAAACAATCACTGCTGTTACTCGCGAGCGGCGTCATGGTTTTTCATCACCGTACGAAAACAAACGTTTTCCGAGCAGGTGTTGCGTAATTCCGTTTGGTTCTTCGAGCAGCGATCGATACACGCACAGCGCTCTCAAATGTTCAACGTGTTCATAACGGAGCCATCTAGCAATGGCCAGCTATTTTCCGCGATTTCGCGGCCAAGCGAGCCCCGACACTGTCTATGGTCAACTATAAAGGCCATCTGTTCGCGTTTAGAGTCGCCTTTATGCTAGCGGTGACGTCATCGTGCGCGTGTGCGCACAAATAAACACAGAGAGGAACACCCACTCGCCATCATCGCGATCGTTGCTCACCTTTTCTCTCTCTCTCTCTCTCTCCTCTCCCCCTCCCACCCTCCGTTCGCATACTCATTCCTCTTGCTCTCGCCGCGATCATCGCCCGTTTTCTCTTGCCCGTCAAATTTCCTTTCGACCAGTCCCTGTTCTTCGCCTGATGCCTTTGTTATACGACTGGCATTTAACGGCCGTTCGTCTAATCTTCGCGAACCGGTTTTTCGAGGAATCTTCATCGTGCCGCCTGGCTGGAGGTGGTTTTGGCACGGGATAACAAGGGTGGATTTATTGTCATTCGTAAATCAATGGTTACGCCAGTTTTCCACCGGCTTTACGAACCGAAACCAGAGGTTCCCCTGATCCGCCTCGTCACCTGACTTCATCATTCGTCCATCGCGTTTCCCAAACTTTTTGTCCCAAAATTGCAATACTTTCTCAGTTTTAAGTATATTTAAGTAAAACAAAGTAGGGAAAATAAATAATAAATTTACTACTTCTCGATCATTTCTATCCAGTGATGTACCGACGAGTTCAAAAAGAAAGCGACAAATTACTGTATACAGTTCGGTCACTCGTTACGGTCCGCAATCAGTTGCCGGCGCAAGTAGTTAATCTCTTACACTGGGCCACGCACGTCAAGAATTTTTTTATCACAAAATTGCAATATTTTCCAAGTTTTTAGTATATTTAAGTATGACCCAGGCAAAGAAAATAATAAATTTATTATTTCTCAATAATTTCTATCCAGTGATATCGTACCGATGACTTCAAAAGAAAAGGAAAGCTACGAATTATTGTATACGGTTTGGTCACTCAGCGCAAGTAGTTAACCTTTTGCCACGCACGTCGAGAATTTTTTGTCCTAAAATTGCAATATTCTCTCAGTTTCAAGTATTAAGTATAACCCAGGTAAAAAAAAAAAAAAAATAATAATAAATTTATTACTTCTCAATAATTTCTATCCAGTGATATCGTAGCGACGACTTCAAAAGAAAAGGAAAGCGACGAATTATTGTATACGGTTTGGTCACTCGTTACGGTCCGCAATCAGGTTAACCTCTTGCGCTGGAACGACGTGCCACGCACGTCGAGAATTTTTTGTCTCGAAACTTTCTCAGTTTTAAGTATATTTGAGTAAAACAAATAATAAATTTATTACTTCTCCACGATAGAACAAACGCGGAATACATGTTATTAGACTGTCGAAACATGACTTTACTGATAACAAATTTTTAAAAAATTCTTCGGTTTACATTGAAAATTCCGAATGGCTTGAAAGTTCATTGTGGGGCGTATACGCACGTATTAAACAACGAAGTAGTTTTCAATTGATCAACAAAAAGTGATCTTAAATAATTAACAAGGTAGTCTCAATTAATCATCAGAGAGTTTTACATCGTTATGTAAAAGGTAGTCTCCATTGTCAGTTTATTTCGAAAGTAATATCAAAGTGGAATTTATCACAAGACTCGTGTACGGTTCGTTGCAGTTGAAGCTGTATAAACATAAAGTCTCATTATTGAATGAAACTCAATTGTAGATGACTGTACACCGTTACTACGACTCCGAACAACCCGAATACAATTGCCAAATTTTCGAAATGGCGTGGAGAAGCAAATACACTGGATTTTCCGCTCCAATCTGCTCAACGTGACTAGAATCTTGGTCTCTAAACTTCCGTAGTGTAACATTCATGGAACAGCAGTGATGAAAAAGCAATTTGGTGTGAAATAAAAAAAAAAAGATCAGACGATGCTGCGGCTGAAGTATCCAAATGCGAGTGTTAAATTTAAAAAAAAACGCGCAAGTGCGCTGGATATTTTCCGCTCCAGCCGCCAGGTGTAATCAAATTTTCGAAATGGCGCGAACGCGCACCAACCGCGATGCAGTGAACAAATTTCCGGAGTCCGAACGTTGAAATTTCGTAGAACAGCGAAAAAGCAAGGCAAGAGAAAAAAAAAAAAAAAAAAAAAAAAGAACGGAGAAACGCAGGAAAAATTGTCAAACCCCGTGAGCCAGGTNAAAAAAAAAAAAAAAACAGAAGAAACGAAAAAAAAGAATGGGAAGACGAGTGCAGCGGAAAGTTAGGAAATTAACGAGGACGAGGCGAGCGCCTCTCGGCGGCGTTCCAGCGAGTGATCGTGGTTTCACGGGTTGGCCCGTAGCCAGGCGTCCCGACGCTTGCCGAGAGGGTGGACCGAGTCCGGCCGAAGACGGCGTCCCGGCGTCGAGCGTCCGTCAGTGCGTGTGTGACATGGCTGCGAGGCGCTACGGCCACCTAGACGCCCTCCACCTCGCGATGTGAACACACCCGCAGCGTCCTCGAACGATCGCTCAACGATCCCACGTTTCTTCCACGCTCCTTTTCTCTCTCTCTTTCTCTCTTTCTCTCTCTCTCTCTCTCTCTCTGTCCATCTAGCCGCGTCGTTAGCCACGACCCCAGGTGAAGAACGCGCGATCTGTTCGAAGGCCTCGAACGCCTTCGAAAAGTTTCGAAAGTCGAGGGGAAAATGACGGTGATCGCGGGATAGTTGAGAACGTTGAGGAACATTGAGGAGCTGGGAAAATCGTCGACGGAGGGCGCTTGAAACTCGGTTAGTGAATGAGTTGAAAGTGAAGGTGCTGAAGTTCGAAGACTTTTGGTGAGATGAATCTGGTTGCCGATTTTCATTGAGACGTTGAGAGGAGAGAAAGGGGACGATACACAGTGAATCGAGCGATTGGATTTGAACAGCGAGGCACGAGCCTCGAGAGGAGGAACCTTCGAGTCTCGCGTCAAGCGTCTCGCGGAAACGAAGTTGAACGTATCATTCCCGCAGCGAGACGACACACGTTACACTAACTACTGCATTCCCTGTAAAGAAGTCGTCGGGCAGTTCTCTCCTCGACCTTGTACATAGATGCTCACAGAGAGACCGTGGACCACAAGTACACTCCTATTTAACGGACCTTCGTAGTTAGGCTAAGAACTGTACTAAGAGCGCCGCTTACGATCGATTACGATCTTCAGTTGAGCGACGAACTTGAAAACGCGAGTGAAAAGAAACAGGTGGTGGAAAGTACTTACACTGAAAAGCGTCAGCTGTGCAATTGTTTTCAGAAACATTCAGACTTTCAAGACGATCGTGATTGTGCCGACGCGAGCCGCGGTGTGGCGTATCGACGAACCGAGTGGCACGTCCGCGGCGAGATAAACATGTCACTGACGCATCCCGTGGTATTAGCAATGTTTGCGGATGACGGACGTTATCCAGGATTTCGCGGTAATACCGGGCCGCGCGAATGATCGGACGTGTAATCCGCTGGAGGGGCTTGTCGAGATCGTTTCGGCTGTCGTGGCTTGACAACCGCCTGGACAAGTTATGTCGGGCCAGTGACGCGAGCAAAAGTTTGGAGAGATAGGAGGCCGATGCGTCTGTCGACGGAACGGTGGCTTCTACTCCGCTCGAGTGAACAAGAGGAAAGTAACGACGACGACGACGAAGAAGAAGAAGAAGAAGCAGAAGAAGAAGAAGAAGAAGAAGAAGAAGAAGAAGAAGAGGAGGAGGAGGAGGAGGAGGAAGAAGAAGAAGAGAGGAAAAGGAAGGGGGGGCGTGCTTGAAAGGAGAGCGCGTGCAGTTGGTTTCGACTTTGTTTCTTCGTCGTTTGCACGCGTGCAGCTCCCTGTGGTGTGCACGTGCGTGGCTGCGTGCGTGTGTATAGTGCAGGAACCGACGATGGAATATCGGTGAGGTCACGAGGTCACCGCAGAATGCCTGAGCCGAGGGCGAAGCGCTGTAAACACTGTGACGGTACGGGCACCACTTGGCCGCGACGGGTGTTGCAGGCTTTCTTCCATTCCGCACGGCGGACACTTGCTCCGTTTCTAACTTTGTCGTACCGCTAACCACTTATTAATAAAGCGTCGTCGCCTTTTAATCTCACGCTCTAATTTTTATTAACCCCTAACGCTCACCCTTCACCTCATTTTCCTCCGCCCCCCGTTTGTACCCGTTGGAATATGTTTGAAGATGTTTGACGATGTTTGGAGATGTTTGATGACGTTTGATACTCGTCTCGCGCGTTCTAACGTGTTTTAACGTTAATTGGTAATGTACGTGTGTGAATTAACCCCTTAGCGCTGGCAACTGATTGCGGACCGTAACGAGTGACCGAACCGTATACAATAATTGGTCGCTTTCCTTTTCTTTTGAACTCGTCCGGTACAATATCACTGGAAATTATTGAGAAGTAACAAATTTATTATTTACTTTGCCTGGGTTATACTTAAATATACTAAAAACTGAGGAAATGTAGCAATTTAGGACAAAAAATTCTCGACGTACGTGACATGTCATTCCAGCGCAGGAGGTTAATGATGGATTGGTGTGTGAGTAATTAGGGAAGTAACAGTGTTTGTTTTTTTTTTTTTTGCATGATTGTTTTGTTTTAGAAATCAGGGGGGGGGGGCTTTTTGGCACCAAAGGGGAACTTGTTTGACACCAAGGGGGAAAGTGTAAGTTCACCTCATGTAGATCAGAGAATCGTAACGCGCGAATAATAATAACCTCTGTACTTTTATTCGTAGTTTAACTCTTTGCACTTCAAACTATTTTTCAATTTTTTTTTTTTTTTGGCAATTTAAAAATGTCGAGTGTGACTTAATGCAGGAGTTTCTGTGATAAAAACTGATGTCGAGTTGCCCACACGCACAATAGTAGTTAACAATAAACCTGTTACGAATTTTTGAAATTTTGTTTGGAATTTCTTACGTACAATAGTTGTTATTGCACCGCCATTTAGCTTCACGTATACGTGCAACGAACTTTCCAACATACACTTGTTTTCTGAGAGAAAAACATGTTCATGACGGTTATTTATATTCTTTTTGTAATAGCATTCTCTCGACGACTCAATTCTGAAACTAAATAAAGTCGTTACAAGTAAAAAGTGATGCAAGTTTGGCCGAAAACGTAACGATCTAAAGGAGCTGCGATAATGGCGGCGTGGACTTACGAAAAATGTGTTGATTCCTCTCGGTTTCAATATACCTCGAATTTTACTATGACTGTAAAATAAAACCTAATGCCAGGCTAAAAATCGTATCTATGATACAGAAAAGATCCAGCATTATTTCCTCGCCAAGAGTAGAAAATAGCTTTGATTAGTCACCGTAGGAATATACACGAAGTACATCGATATATTCAGAAATGAAGTGGTATCGACTATCTGCGAACGTTAAAAAACAGACAAGCTTCTTTGCTCTTGTCACCAACGATGTCAATAAAATGTAAACCTCGCGTTGATTTTAGCGCTGGGGAAAAGAGCGGCGCGAGAAGTATCGTTAAATTGCTTGTTTCTCGGAGAAGTAGGAGGGCGTTGAGAAAAGCCAGATGGCGCGGCGAGAGCGGAAAGTCGAATTTCCGAAGGCCGGGGGGCGAAACATCGCGGGTGTTAATTAGAGGAATGGCCAGAGGAGGCCATTTTATCTGCGGGTCGGTTTGTTCCGGACACTTGGACCAGGCTTGAGGCAGACCAAGGCGAACGCGCATAGCGCATTCCGATCGGATGGCAACCACGTCCAACTACATTCCCTCTCCCTCCCCTTCCCTTGTCTCTCGCGCTCCGCATCGCCCAGTATTTTTATCCGCGGTTATTCACCCTCTTATCTGCGAATAGCGGCGCCCCTTATCCACCTGGATTCGTGCCCCTTCCCTGTCCTTTCCCTTTGCAGTTTCCCACTTTACCGACTTTACCGACTCTTCTCCGACCATCTTCTCTTTTCTTCTTTTCAACGTTCTCCCAATTTTCGATCGAAATCAAATGCGAACGAGAGAATTCACTCGTGAGAATTTTGGGGAACTCGAGCGAGCCGGGATCGAGCTACGAGTGTCAGTGCCGAGGGGGGAGGGGGGAGGAGGGGGCGGTTTATTTGAATTTCTCTAGAGATCGATCGTCTATGCAAACAGCGAGACGGCCCGGGGGAATGGTAACGATCACTCCGGATATTGGCCTATATTTCTTTTTCTTTTTTCGCGGCGATTTCGCTCGGCCGAAAGTAGCGTTTTTTGCTACTCCGTATCTTTTTTTATTTCTCGAAACGTAAAAGCGCCAGATGGCCGCGATTAAAAAAAAAAAGTAGAATCTCTCTTTCTCTCTCTCTCTCTCTCTCTCTCTCTCTCTATCTCGCGTGCGTGCGTTACGTTTTCGTTAACTCAGATTCGGCACCGTCTGCATACACAATTCTTAAACGAAATTTATAAACACGCCATGTCGGTTCTTTTCCGCGCGATCCGCGCTAGGTCTACGGTCTTGTAAACAGATTTTCACGGACGCTCGCGCGGCTCTCGTTTCGCCGTCTGCCGGAACGGACAACGTAACGAAGGGATGGCGTGAGATTCGAGAGCTTTACGCTCTAAATGCCAAGGTCCTGGGTCTTGGAATTTATTGCAAGCACCGAGAAACCGATATAAGCTCTATGAAAAAGAGAACTAGCTTGACTGCTTGTCGTTTCAAGGAGAAACTCTAGAAACGTTCCGCTCTTTCTTCTTCTCTATAATTTTCTCTGATTCGGATTTTTTTTTAATACGGATTCGTTCATAGGAATTTTCTGTAATTCGGGTTTTCATTAATACGGATTTGTTCATAGGAATTTTCTATGATTCGGATTTTCTTTAATACGAATTTGTTCATAGGAATTTTCTATAAATTGGATTTTCTTTAATACGAATTTGTTCATAGGAATTTTCTATAATTTGGATTTTCTTTAATACGAATTTGTTCATAGGAATTTTCTAT